GTGGGTGTTCAACGATCTCAATAAGAAAAGTGTGGGTGTTGAATCCCCCACATCCCCCACGGGTGCGACGCCCATGTATATCAGTATATGACCGGTCACTGTGTAAGTCAATATGTAGGTGAAAATGTACCCTTTCTGGACGTTACACAGGCTTCGGTTGTTCACAAGTGGCTTACGGTTTGTTTCTAATGTGAACTGATCTAAGCCACAAAGGTATTTGTCAAACTTTTCACAAGCCCAGACACTAGCCAGACATCCTTTTCTATCTGTGCGTAGCGAGTCTCAGTGTCAGACAGACTTCTCGAACAGTAAGCCACTGGCCTCCACTCTTCTCCATGAAGCTGGAGCAATACAGCGCCCAGCCCATAGCTGCTGGCGTCAGCTGACACGGTTGTGGGCTTTGTGATGTCGTAGAATGCCGAGACAGGAGCTGTAGTCAGCATGTGTTTTATTTTCTCGAGGGCCGATTTCTGCGCCGGACCCCAAGTCCAGGCATTTTTGCTCCTCAACAGTTTTTACAGAGGTAGCCCCAGTGTGGAAAGGGAAGGGACACACTTCCCCAGATAATTCACCATACCCAGGACTCTCTTAAGCTCGTGCATGTTTTCAGGTGGTGAAAGTTGGTGGATAGCTTTCACCGTTTCTGGGTCTGGTCAGACTCCTCGTTTGTCGATGACATGTCTTAGGAAGCAGAGCTGGCTTTGTCTCAAAACACACTTCTCTTTGTTGAGCTTGAGGCCTGTGAGTTCAATACGCCGCAGTACACTGTCGAGCCGGTCTTCATGCTGGTCTTTTGTTGCTCCATAGACAAGAATGTCATCCATAGAAACTTCCACACCTTCCAACCCCTCCAGTGTCTCTAGCATTTTCCGCTGGAAGCTCTCTGGTGTGCTGGTTTTACCAAATGGCAATCTCTTGAAGCGGTACCTGCCGAATGGAGTTGTGAATGTTGTCAATCCGCAGCTGTCAGGATGTAGGGAATTAGCCTAAATCCGCTGGCTGCATTTAGAGAAGAAAATAGTGTGGCTCCATTTAGTTTAGAGGTTGTCTCATCAGGGGTGGGTAATATGTAGCGCTCTCTTTTAACCGACTTATTTAGTTTGGTCAAGTCAACACAAATTCAGGCCTTGCCTGTGTTTTTCTTTAGAACGGGTACCGTGGGAGCACACCACTCCACAGGTTGTTTGACTCTCTCTATGGCTCCTTTATTCTCCATCCTCTCTAGTTCCTCTAACTTTTTGTAGTAAAGGGAAATGCACTCGACGGGTAGTGTGTATCGCATATGGCACAGCATTTTCTTTTAACAGTTTTTTTACAGGTTCAGTGTTTAATGTGGCGTGTTGCCCATAAGCTTGCTGGTGTTGCCCTGCGCTGTGTGTCAGCTCATCCACTCTCCTCACCAAGTTCATTTTTACTGATGGAGATCTGCTGAGCAGGTGGTTGACTTCTGGTCCTCTGACAACGTGGGTCTTGGCTTGGTAGTTATTTCTTTTGTGGGTGAGAGTAACACCGAAACAGCCACGGCACAACGGTTCTCCTCCTGGGCTGTTCAGGGGCATGTCAGGTGGCTCTAGTGCTTTATCTACATGGAGAGTGTGAAAAGTGTCCTCATTTATCACATTTACATCAGCGCCAGTGTCAATTTTAAATTCTACTGGGGCTCCATTAACTGCCATTTTGACAGTCCTTGCATCACTTTTCTCATTTTGATCACACACAGAACCTAAAAAAAAGAGGTAGGTTCATCTTGAGTCTCGATGACCTCATTTACTGACCGTCTGTTGTGACACACTTTGGCCCAGTGTCCTATTTTATGGCAGTTGTGACACACAGCTTTCATCGCGGGGCACCTGACATCTCTCTTATGCTGCACTTTTCTACACCTCCCACATTTCGCTTCTTTAGTTCTTTTATTGTCTTTACCCCATGTCATATGTGTGTGTGTCCTACTTTGTGGCGTTTTCCAGTGAGTAAACTTCTTTTTGTGGTGAAATTCCTCCACAGATCTCACCGGGTCCCCCTGCTGGTTCACTTGGGCCATAACCTCTTCAGACTGCCTGACGGTCTGAACTGTCTGCGTCAGGGTCAGACCCTCCATTAACTGCAGCTGGTGGGAAAGTTCTTTGTCTTGTATTCCCACAACAATACGGTTGCGGATATTCTCTTCCCTCGACGCTCCAAACTAGCAGTATTCAGATAGTTCATGCAATGCACAGATAAAGCTCTCTGCCTTCTCTCGCTGCCACTGGACACGCTGATGAAAGCAGGCTTGCTGGTGGATAAAGTTCCTCAGCGGGAAAAAATAGTCATCAAACTTCTCTAAAACAATAGGGAAGTCATCACTGTCCCCCTCTCTAGCAAACGTAAGTGGCTGAAAAATCTTCTCTGCCTCATTGCCCATCGCGTATATTAGGCAGCTCACTTGCACCGGACCATCATCTTTGTCGAGCTTTGTGGCTATTCTGTAGCGCTCGAGCCTCCGCTTCCAGTCGGGCCAGTCCGCTGGTTTCTCAAAAATAAAATTCGACGGTGGGTTAAATTTTGCCATGCCGCCATTCGCATGTAAGTCCTCTAAGATGTGTAGCTGTCAGCGTCACTTCTGACACCACATAAAAGATGGAGTTGGCTTTTAGAACTCAGCTTTAATGGCAGGTCTCTGCATGAGTGTCCGTTACCCCCCCCCCCCCCCTCCCCGTAAAACTTCTGTCGTAAAATATAACAAGATGTGATTAAGGTAACATCCAAACTGTGTAAACTGTGTTGCATTTATGACAACCACCATGCAAACCTGGGACCCTATGATGCAGATCTAACACTTGCCAGATTGCATGAGATTGTCACAGCGTTAAACCAAATGGACCAGATGCGGTACATTGCTGTTTGGGGCAATGTCTCATTCCATCGGGGGCTGCTCTGGTCCAGAATTGTTTCCGTGACCAACCTGGCTGCCCTTCCTGAATCCAATTGAAGCGTTTGTTTCAGCACGGCGGTGGAAGATATATGACCATTTGCCACTCATTCAGGCCATGGAGCAGGCCTGTCATCAGATGGAAGCAGCTTCTGTGCAGGGGTGGATTTGTCACTCAAGGTGATTCTTCCAACGGTGCCTTGCCAGTGAAGACGTATGTGATGTGGGTGAAATCTTATGGTCTGATCCAGCCAGACGGAGATATGAGGAATAGTTACAATACTTGTGTCAAACGGTCTGTACTTCATGCAGTAACTTTTATTTGTCTACAGATTTAGTTTGTTTCATAGATTTCATTGTTGGTTGGTTACTGTAACTGATTAAGAAATGCTGTATTTCTTGAATTGAAATAAATATTTGGGATGTTCAGTCTGCAGCATCAGTGTTGTGGTACTTGGGCCTATGTGTGTACATTCTCCCTACATCTGGAAGTAATCATGAAGAATGTCGAGGGTGTATCACTACTTTGTTTTGTCATCGATACGGTCCCTTACATAACAATGTCTACCCAACCCTCAAGCTCATGCTATTTCCTAAAACTTGTTTTTCTTTACAAATGTGTTTATTATTTATCACAGCAGTGAGAAACTGTCTGCAATAGTGTCTGATCATTGAGGACTGTGTTGGTTAAATGAAAACTAATGGCATTTTCACAAATATGTGTGTATATTCTGACTGAAATGTGTCATTTTGCAAACAATCTAGGAATTCTGCAAACTGAGTGTGGTGTTTGGATGATTGTGATTACATTTAGAGAAAAAGAAAAATAACCCGTTTTTTGTGTAAACTATTGAAAAAAACTAACACTTTTGCCTTATTTGTTTAAAATAATCCATAAACTTGAATTTCCTTTTTAATGTGACATGCTAGCAAAAAGACAAGGTTAACATCTTATTAAAGAATGCAAACACTTAAAACAAAGTCCCAAACATGATCTTTAACTTTCTAACTTTTACATGAATACATCATGAAAAACCTGTTAATGCTCACGGTTGAGAAAAACTGCAGTTGGGGCAAACTTTAATCATTAATTTGTCCTGGAATCTGTTTTATCATGTTGTTACCATCAACCCAAGTCTCGGCATCTGAATGAGGCCTTGGCATCATCCGAGCAACCTTTTTCTGTTATGGCCGTAAGGCCTTGGAATGGTCTTCTTGTGTGTTGGGCGTGTGAGCAAGTGTGTGTGTGTGTGTGTGTTTGTGTGTGTGTGTGTGTGTGTGTGTGTTTGTGAGAAGTACAGATTATGGTGTCTGGATTTCATCATCTAAATAATAAGAAAATCGTCTCTTTTCTTGCTTTTTAAAAGTATATTTTTCAGTACTTTAGTTTAAAATGTCATTTCAGTCATGTCAATGTTGATTTATTTGTTTTACACATTAAAAACAACATAAATTGAACAAACCAGAAGTCAAACAGGAAGTTAAAAACAGCAGTAAAAAGAAAAAAGTGCAAAACAACGTACAAATAAAGAAAAAAACAGCAAGAATAAACCCTTCATGTGAATGAAGAAATCCATGTTAGTCAAATAAACATGAGTTTTCTTCTCTATGGGTTCTGTGTTTGGAAAGCTTTCCAGTCGCTCAGATTTCTCTTAGTTGACTTATTCGTATCCCAGAGGGAGGCTAAACAAGATAAAACATATCCTCAGAACTCGGAGAACCTCACGCTGCTGAATGCTGAAATCATTTAAAGCTTTTCTACTGGCTTACACGCAATGCAGGAGCTGAACCAAGAGATTTGTGTTTCCTCTTGGGTGATGGAGTTTTAGGATGATTATATGAAGTTTAGTCAACTCAAAGTTTCCATTAATTTTCCAGTGTTAGTATACAGAGTTTGAGCCACACATCAACCACAGTCTTAACCTTTTTGATGAGCGTGTTACTGTGAGACGTGTAGATCCATTGTTTCATATCAATATTTTTATCAGGGCTAGGGTGAGTGTTTGTAAAACCGACTCACTTAGTCAGTATTTTAGAGTCAGAAACACACTGTAGTCACTTCCCTTAGAGATGTTGTATCTTCATCTTCCAGACTGGTGCCATGCTGTTGGACGTTCACGAAAAGAAACTATGACATCAGAGGTGTGTTCCAGCTGTGATTTGGGTGAGAAGGAGTCCATCCCTTTAGACATCGACAATGTCCACATGCTGCTGCAAGGTTAGTCTCCATTTATTGACTGAAGAAAGACATCTCATTAATTTGTTATGGTTTTATATGAAACTTATATAATAAAAATATCTCCAGGTCTTTGTTTCGAATGAGTATTTGCTCCATATGGACCTAGGTTTATACTCCATATATACCTAGGTTTATACTCCATATGGACCTAGGTTTATACTCCATATATACCTAGGTTTATACTCCATATGGACCTAGGTTTATACTCCATATGGACCTAGGTTTATACTCCATATGGACCTAGGTTTATACTCCATATATACCTAGGTTTATACTCCATATGGACCTAGGTTTATACTCCATATATACCTAGGTTTATACTCCATATGGACCTAGGTTTATACTCCATATGGACCTAGGTTTATACTCCATATGGACCTAGGTTTATACTCCATATGGACCTAGGTTTATACTCCATATGGACCTAGGTTTATACTCCATATATACCTAGGTTTATACTCCATATGGACCTAGGTTTATACTCCATATATACCTAGGTTTATACTCCATATGGACCTAGGTTTATACTCCATATGGACCTAGGTTTATACTCCATATATACCTAGGTTTATACTCCATATGGACCTAGGTTTATACTCCATATATACCTAGGTTTATACTCCATATATACTGTACCTAGGTTTATACTCCATATGGACCTAGGTTTATACTCCATATATACCTAGGTTTATACTCCATATGGACCTAGGTTTATACTCCATATATACCTAGGTTTATACTCCATATGGACCTAGGTTTATACTCCATATGGACCTAGGTTTATACTCCATATATACCTAGGTTTATACTCCATATGGACCTAGGTTTATACTCCATATATACCTAGGTTTATACTCCATATATACCTAGGTTTATACTCCATATGGACCTAGGTTTATACTCCATATATACCTAGGTTTATACTCCATATGGACCTAGGTTTATACTCCATATGTACCTAGGTTTATACTCCATATATACCTAGGTTTATACTCCATATATACCTAGGTTTATACTCCATATGGACCTAGGTTTATACTCCATATATACCTAGGTTTATACTCCATATGGACCTAGGTTTATACTCCATATATACCTAGGTTTATACTCCATATATACCTAGGTTTATACTCCATATGGACCTAGGTTTATACTCCATATATACCTAGGTTTATACTCCATATGGACCTAGGTTTATACTCCATATGTACCGAGGTTTATACTCCATATACAGGTGCTGGCCAGTAAATTAGAATATCATCAAAAGGTTGAAAATATTTCAGTAATTCCATTCAAAACGTGAAACTTGTACATTATATTCATGCAATGCACACAGACCAATGTATTTCCGATGTTTATTACGTTTAATTTTGATATTTATAGGTGACAACCAATGAAAACATCAAATCTGGTATCTCAGAAAATTAGAATATTCTAAAGGCCAATGAAAAAATGTTTGTTTCTCTAATGTTGGCCAACTGAAAAGAATGAACATGAAAAGAATGTGCATGTATAGCACTCAATACTTAGTCGGGGCTCCTTTTGCCTCAATAACTGCAGTAATGCGGCGTGGCATGGACTCGATCAGTCTGTGGCACTGCTCAGGTGTTATGAGAGCCCAGGTTGCTCTGATAGTCGTCTTCAGCTCCTCTGCATTGTTGGGTCTAGCGTATTGCATCCTCCGCTTCACAATACCCCATAGATTTTCTATGGGGTTAAGGTCAGGCGAGTTTGCTGGCCAATCAAGGACAGGGATACCATGGTCCTTGAACCAGGTGCTGGTGGTTTTGGCACTGTGTGCAGGTGCCAAGTCCTGTTGAAAGGTGAAGTCTGCATCCCCATAAAGTTGGTCAGCAGCAGGAAGCATGAAGTGCTCTAAAACTTCCTGGTAGACGGCTGCATTGACCCTGGACCTCAGGAAACAGAGTGGGCCAACACCGGCAGATGACATGGCACCCCACACCATCACTGACGGTGGAAACTTTACACTGGACCTCATGCAACGTGGATTCTGTGCTTCTCCGCTCTTCCTCCAGACTCTGGGTCCTTGATTTCCAAAGGAAATGCAGAACTTGCTTTCATCAGAAAACATAACTTTGGACCACTCAGCATCAGTCCAGTCCTTTTTGTCCTTGGCCCAGGCGAGACGCTTCTTGCGCTGTTTCTTGTTCAAGAGTGGCTTGACACACGGAATGCGACACCTGAATCCCATGTCTTTCATGAGTCTCCTCGTGGTGGTTCTTGAAGCGCTGACTCCAGCTGCAGTCCACTCTTTGTGGATCTCCCCCACATTTTTGAATGGGTTTGTTGTCACAATTCTCTGCAGGGTGCGGTTATCCCTAGAGCTTGTACACTTTTTTCTACCACATTTTTTCCGTCCCTTCGCCTGTCTGTTAATGTGCTTGGACACAGAGCTCTGCGAACAGCCAGCTTCTTTAGCAATCACCTTTTGTGTCTTGCCCTCCTTGTGCAAGGTGTCAATGATTGTCTTTTGGACAGCTGTTAAGTCAGGAGTCTTCCCCATGATTGTGGGGCCTTCAAAACAAGACTGAGGGACCTTTTAAAGGCCTTTGCAGGTGTTTTGAGTAAATCAGCTGATTAGAGTGGCAGCAGGTGTCTTCTATATTCAGCCTTTTCAGAATATTCTAATTTTTTGAGATACCAAATTTGGAGTTTTCATTAGTTGTCACTTATGAATATCAAATTTAAATGTAATGAACATTGGAAATACATTGGTCTGTGTGCATTGCATGAATATAATGTACAGGTTTCACGTTTTGAATGGAATTACTGAAATATTTTCAACCTTTTGATGATATTCTAATTTACTGGCCAGCACCTGTATACCTAGGTTTATACTCCATATGTACCGAGGTTTATACTCCATATATACCTAGGTTTATACTCCATATGTACCGAGGTTTATACTCCATATGTACCCCTGTGAATACCATGTACATGCTCCATATATACCTAGGTACTTACTTCATATGTACTCCTGTGAGGACCAGGTATATACTCCATATGTACCCCGTGAATACCAGGTATATACTCCATATGTACCCCTGTGAATACCAGGTATATACTCCATATATACCCCTGTGAATACCAGGTATATAGTCCATATGTACCTAGGTTTATACTCCATATATACCTAGGTTTATACTCCATATGTACCGAGGTTTATACTCCATATGTACCCCTGTGAATACCACGTACATGCTCCATATATACCTAGGTACATACTTCATATGTACCCCTGTGAGTACCAGGTATATACTCCATATGTACCCCTGTGAATACCAATTATATACTCCATATGTACCCCTGTGAATACCAGGTATATACTCCATATGTACCCCTGCGAATACCAGGTATATACTCCATATATACCCCTGTGAATACCAGGTATATACTCCATATGTACCTAGGTTTATACTCCATATATACCTAGGTTTATACTCCATATGTACCTAGGTTTATACTCCATATGTACCCCTGTGAATACCACGTACATGCTTCATATATACCTAGGTACATACTTCATATGTACACCTGTGAGTACCAGGTATATACTCCATATGTACCCCTGTGAATACCAATTATATACTCCATATGTACCCCTGTGAATACCAGGTATGTACTCCATATGTACCCCTGTGAATACCAGGTATACACTCCATATATACCCCTGTGAATACCATGTATATACTCCATATGTACCCCTGTGAATACCAGGTATATACTCCATATGTACCCCTGTGAATACCAGGTATACACTCCATATATACCCCTGTGAATACCAGGTATATACTCCATATGTACCCCTGTGAATACCAGGTATATACTCCATAAGTACCCTTGTGAATACTAGGTATATACTCCATATGTACCCGGGCATATAGTATATTTTGTCTTCCTGCACAATTCCCTCAAAGGCACAATATTTAGCAGCAGTACTGATATAAAAACTTAGGTTAGATTGAACCGAGAACTCTGGCCCTTTCCTTTTTGTTTCATGCTTTTGGTCCTGCTGTAAAAACTGGAAGTCAACTGGAAGCAGCGCAGATTGCCTGTTGTTAATGCAAACTTAGGTATCAGATCACAGGCCTCCACCTTGGTTGAGCAGAAAAGCCGAGTTGTTGCTATTTTTCTTGTTATAGAATTTAAACCATTTAATGAATGGTGGGCATTTTTCCTGTTTGCATTCGTGCTAGACACCAAGTTGTAGGGCTGCTTATGTAGGTTAGCACTAGCATACATTGAACATTTTCTATTGCAAGATGTGCCAAAGATGCTAAAGGGGAACTAGCGTGTTGCTTGTCATGTTTAGGCAGGTCTTCTGTAGTCTCTGACTCAGACATCAAAGGAGGTGGAGCCCAAAGTCTTCATCTCACCTGCTTTCCCTCAGGCTGGAAATGAAGACTTTTAACTGGTTAAACCAGAATCAGAGTCAGTCCAGTGTCCTATCAGCTTTCTCAGCATTGGCTCCACTGCTAAACCTGGAGCTGCAGCGTGTGCTAAGCCAGGTTTTTACTGGTGTTCATCAGAAGTTGTTGATCTGGGAACATTACTGATGAACTGACTTAGCTGACCAATCCCACCATGGGTGAGTATTATCCTAAATGTTCTCTGAAGTTCACTAGTAAAGATCGATCATGTAGAACTTAGAGAGTGAAACAAACATGTAAAAAAACAAATGTTTTAATGATTAACAGTAATTGCCTCTGTTAAAACTCAGGTAAAACCCAGATTTGCTCCAGGCTGTTTGCTTAAAACGAGAGAAGATGATGCAGTGGATGATACCCGTTTCTTTAACGCCTCGAGGACAGAAACACGTTATGCAAAGTTATTTTTATACTTCTTATTGATTGAACCTCAGATTTGAACCCCCCTATCTATATTCAACATATAAACATGTTACCTCTGATTAAATTACAGAATCTGCAAAACAGCTCAACATAAACATCAGATGAATACATCTTGGAATTGAAGCAGTTTCATTGTTTAATGGCTTCAAAGAACCATAAAGCATCTCTGTACCAGTGGAGGTGGCGGTAACACCAGCTACGTTTAAATGGGCACAAGTCATTGGATCTGGATATCAGATCAAACATTCTTCATGTAAACATGTCAACTGGAATATTCTGATCTGACACGGCCCGATTGAAAGAGTGGCTTTGTCCGATCATCATTCCGATTGACGTGCATGTACACACTCGTTCGGATTGTTGCCCACTGTGCATGTGTCCAGCTTCAGCCTGACGTTTTTCTGCTGCTCAGGAAGGGTCAAAAACACGGCGGGAGGTAAACAGGAGTTATCCTGCTCTCCTCTCCTGTGGCGGAGGAGCAGTGGCGTTACGTACCGCTGATCTTGCAGCTTAGGAGAAGCGATCAGTAAAACCAAAAGCACACAGGTATAAGTGTGAAGAAGGTCCATCACGGGGAAAAACGCAAGTCAATGGACAAAGCTAGAGAACAAGAAAATAAAATGCTAGCAGGAAGACGTGGGGACAAGATAGTGTTTGTTTAAAATTTTATTCTGGGAAAGACAACTCTGCACATGCTCACCCTATTTAACCCTGTGGAGGCAGGCGTTGCAGATTAGCAACGGTAAAACCTACCTACCTGGGTACTCCACATATGTATTTCATGAGCATTTTTTAAACTCAGAAGTACCCCTGAAGGACTGAAGGTTGTTTGTGCTTTTATCAAAACTTATTTTCAGCCTGAGCGGGTTAATCTGACTGGAGGCTTGGTGCATGTATACTCACGGCACGATCGGATCAATTCCGTTAGAGTCCATATGAAAGAGATGTGGGATTCATGATCAATCAAGATTTGAATAGGGGATAGGGAACATTTGGCACATGTAAATGTAGCTTTTCTATGGAATTCCAACGTGTTCAAAATTAAATAACTAAATAATACTCCATGAAATATTTATCTATAAGTACTAGACAATGACATGTTGAAATAACATAATGTTAACTTGACAATGTATATTTTCCCTTGCAATAGGGGGCAGTACATAACTAAATCATTGCAAACAAGCTGTGTTTTTGTGTTTGAGTAAGACCTAACCAACAGATAGCAGTTAGGGTCAAAAATCCCAGGAAAACTCCAGCAAAATGACAAGCACATCGTCACTGACTACAAGTGAAGAGGTAAATGTGTAAAACGTTTATGAATGGCGAACATTTTGTAACCGTTTGTTGCAAATCTGAGAAGAAGACCTGCTTCCATGTATTTTAAACCAATTTTTATGGTTATATGTTGTGAAGCCGCCAAAAATTTCAACAACTGGGCATCATTTAATTCATTTTCAACAACATTTTGATGGATATTTCCAGAGATTTATGGTAAAAATGACACATTGTCTCTTAAAGTAAACATCTAATCTCAATAATAATGCATTTTTTTAACTCTTTAAAATGTGCTCATTAGTAAAAACCTTATTTCAGATGTCATTTTCCCCCAATAATGCAAATGATTATTGAGACCTTTTTATCCAAATCTGTCAGTTTTTTAATTACAAGATTTATTTTTCACTAAGTGAGTTTTGATTTCCTAGCAGCAATTTTTCTGTTGGCTGATTTAGTTCATAATGACCCTTTTCAGTAGAAAGTCTGTCAATCAAGACAGCGGGTGTGATCAGCAGAACCATCGGCTGACTTTCAAACATCGTTTAGTTTTCCTGGATATTGGCTCACCAGACGCGACTTAGCTAATGTGAGCACAGGAGTGTGTATTACTCCGCCAATCATAAACTGGCTCCTCCCTGTTTGTCTTGATTGACAGACTATAATAATGAACACTTTGTGTTACATAGCTTTGAAGGATTGTCTGGCAGTTGAGGCTGGCTGCCTGAACGACCAGTTTGGAGAGATATTTTCTTCACATCCAGCAGGACTGATGAGCTAACGGCTAGGCTGTGCCCAGCCAAGACCTGAGAGTCTGAAGGCCGCTGATGTTACAAGCATTTAAGTTCACCATTATTGTAGAATCCTATACCGTAGTTGTTTATCCATGGAATTCTGTGTTTTTTACTAACTACTACTACTGATTAATGTCACCAGTGGCAGAATAATGCAGCACTTCCAGGAAATCCAGAGATCAAGGCTGACTGGATCTTCTTGCCATGTCAACCAACATTAGATTTTGCAGAAACCGTTGATTCCGTTGATTTTGTGTTTGTGGCCCTGAGGGCTGCTGAGTAAAACGCGGAGCTATGCTGATAAATGTAGGGATGTCTCTAGATGATGTCAGGTTTAAACCAGGTGATGCAAGTCCAACATATCAGAGTTTTTTCCTTAAGTTTGGATTAACACAGCCTAAATGTCACTAAGGGATTACCAGTACCATAGTGGTTCAAATGATAGTCAATTTAGGCTTTCAACTTTAGTCTTATTATGCTTTCATTAAAAAAGCCAAATTTAATGTGTTCAGTTGTGGCTTTCTGCTCAAAACTGACACTTCAAAAACAAAAACAGAACAAAGATCGCGCGCTTGTTAACGGAAAGCGGAGGATATGATATCCAGACAGGAAAAACAGCATTCTGACTTTTAGAAAAAACAGAGAAATGTTGGAGAAAACTGGTTGCTGAGTCTACCTGCTGCTGTCTGGTCGGGTTGGGTCAGAACCGTCTCAGACGTTATTCCTCACACATTCTTTACCATGAATAAATGCACAGAAAAAAATGTAATTAATATGTATCTTTTGGTTATTTGATGCGACTTTGTTGAATATATTAATAGTTAAAATGATTTGTCAGAAATGGCTTTAACAATTGATTTCTGCTCTCATCGTGGGATTTATAAAGTATTTCAGGCTTTTTCTGTGGATTAAAACAGCAATTTAGAATAAATAAGAATCAGCTTGGTACAGATTAGTGTTTATTTCTCCTACTGGGGTTACAGAAACAGTCAATCTGCACTGACCAGTTCTATAGATGATGGAGTTTGAACTTTATTTGACAATCTGACATTCATTTAAAATTTCCAGACTCTGAGAGAATCATCTCAGCTGGATGTTCTTACCTGGAGATCTTTAAGGAAACAATTGGTGAACCAGCTGTGACTTTCACACACACACTTATTCCATAACCGGCTTGTGAATGGTTTTAGTTGCCATGATGATAAAGTCACTTTCACACAGAACCTTCTTTGTCATTGTGAAAACTTTCACCTGAGCATAGTCAGGTGAGCAGGAAGTATCACCTGGTATGGGTTTGATGTGAGGAGACGACTCCTTTCTGTGGGTCTGGGTGGAGGTGGCCTCAGCCACGTGACACAAAACAAAGAAACAGTTTGAACATGTAATGGTAGGAAGGAGGATGACACATGCACCAGAGCAGCTAGTTCAGCCTGCTCATCAGATGCTTTTGTCTCAGTGGCTGTCTAATGATGGGGTAAAAGAATTAAACTGACATGGTTTCATGTTTTAACAGTGGAACAGGAACAGATCCAGAAGAGGACCTTCACCAACTGGGTCAACGCTCAGCTGGCAAAGGTGAGACCTAAAGGAGGAGACTGTTTGTCGACGTGAGGAAACCAAACTACTTGAAGCTGTAATAACCATTTTGGAAAACAAATTAGCTTAAAACAATTTTTTCATGCCCATTAACAACATTCTTACATAATACAGCTATAAAATATGATGTGGAGATTAAAAAATAACAAATACATTTAATTCCACCAATAACACGTTTCGGACCAAAAGCAATTGGTCCATCTAGTTGTCGGTCTCATTAAAGCTTCTTTCCGGAGTATTTCTCTTATCCGATGGCACCATCTAGTGGCTGACAAGCATATCACACAAAAAGTCTGTTGCTCTGTTTTTTTAAGATGGCGACTTCATGTTTCTGTTTATAAATGTGCTTCTGTAGCGACAAACAGCTAAACCATGCTGTTTTATGAGTATTATTCTCATGTCATGTTGTGTTCTCATATATTTATATTTTAGAGACTTTCTTGTCCGTGAAAAGTTCACCAACCCAGGTTCATCAGCCCAGGTATTCCTTAAATGTGAAGCGTACAAGCGGTAGTCTAACGCTGTTAGTTAGTTCTGGTCGGCGCTCAGTTTCCTATTGCACGGAGCTCTGCGGAGCAGGGGGCGTGGTTAGCAAAAAAAAAAAAGACGTATTGCTGACAGTACATCACAGTTCACGGTAAGATAATCACTTTTACGGATTTCTGACAAATCATCCATGATTTCTGAAAGGGGAAAACTCTGGAAAGCAGCTTTAAAGTGCCACACTTCCCTGGGTCCTCCACACATTATGCACTCCTGCATTTAGCAACAGAGAACCACGGGGGTTAGAGGTTCTCCGCTCAATAGCATCAGACAAGGAGAAACAGCCGGCTGCTACCACTTCAACTTTAGGACAAACTACCAGAGTCCCAGAAATAAAAACACCGTTTGAAGTCACAGACAACAAAAGATTTTTACATTTAAAAAGCGGCAGCTGGTGTTTAGCACTATCTTGTTTCCTCTGGCAATGTGGGTTTCTGGTTTCGGCAGACGGAAAGATACTCGAGGGGAGGAACGATTGTTCCATGGCTGTGTTTGCTTTCCAAACCGAACTTGTTTGGTAGATTTGCTTTAGTAGCTTTAACCACAACTTCTCACTGGACGCTTCAGCGGTGTGGAATGGCAGCATAACGGTTTACTCACGTGTTGCGCTGTGCGCCAATCCTCACCAGAAGCACCAGAGCGGCTTCTCCATCCTCCTCCTTGCCAGACTCGTAAGGCCACAAAATCCCTCGAGACGTGGTTTGTTTATGCCATTAAAGCAAAAAGAAGAAGAGGGAGATCATGTTTGTTATCGTGTATAATGTTGTTCCTCTCCACTGCCAGGATTAAAGCCATGAAAAACACACTGTTCTCAAAAGATGCTGCAAGTAATAAGCCCACAGGTCACTTGTATTGGTGTAATCTACATAAATATGAAATTGCATCACTGCAATAGCCTTTTATTTGAAAATTACGTTTGTGTGATTCCCTGTCTAGATCTATGTTAATTGTGGAAATGGACATGTCCCTGAAGCAGCTGGTGGCAAAAATATAACCCAATCCTATGTTTAGCGGCATGGCGAGTTGCTTCTGGGACACGTCTGAAATTTTCTGCGTCGCAGCCTGTTTGAACTATAACAGATTTTACTTGATGCAGCGATGTTCCGCTGTTCCATTCTGGGCTGTTGGTGCCTCTAGTGTGAAGTCAGGGTAGGAGTGAGCTGCAGGTCCTAACAGATGGAGAACAAAGTCCCATTTCATATCAGAAATTTGACTGGATCATAGATCTAATACTCCACAGGATTGGGAATACCTTTCACATTTGAATCGATTTGATACCAATTCCCGGTACCAAGGAATTGCTACCGGTACTTAATGGTACCAATGTTTGATACTTTAGAGTGTTTAATAATTACTTAATTCTCTTTTTTAATTAATATATATTTTCTTCTCAATATGTAACCATATTTCATAAATATCATGATTAAAAAAAACCTACTAACTGTATATTACCATAGTAGTATTGTACAAAATTCTTCAGTATGAGAACCTTTGACCTCAACAGCTGTTTTTTTTCTACTCGTAAGACCAAATTATTGATTTCCAAGGAGGAACATTACCTGGTAACAACGGAAGCTAAAGGATCAAGCTAAAATTATATTAAACACTTTATTTACCTGCTGGATCAGATTAAAACATCAATAACTCACTTAGAACGTTGTCAATGTTGTCGTCACTACCCAGTCACCCATCGCATTTAGTGAAGTAGAACCAAACTTTAGAGCGCATTCTTTCTGCCTTGCTGCTAGCTCTGTTTACAGCTGGCCAGCAGCGACTGACGACATAACGCTCTTGCGCATGCGCTGCTGTCTATCTTGGGAAATCAGGCACTGACCTCAATGGTACTGAAACAGGGCACCATTCATATCACGTGGATCGGTCCTTGGTACCACAGAATTCGGTTGGTGCCTTAAAAAGTACCGAATACGGTACCCATCCCTACGCAGGATTACAACGGACATGAGATGAGAAAAGAAGAATTACCTAAATGCAGTGGAAGCACTTCACTGCATTAACATTTAAACAGTCAACAGCTCGGGTTAATGAAAAATAAACCAATCTGAGTCAGAGACACTTCCAAAGTCTCTGAACTGACATGAATCCATTCTCTTTGTTCTTCTTCACCTCTATTAGCTGGACATCAGCCATGGATATGAACGTGACAGCAGTGGAGTGGAGTTGGGATGATGGTGGTGGGGGGTGGGCTTCTGTACTTAAATATATCTGCAAAGTTCATACAGATTGACAGCAACAGATTACCCCCCACTAGGCACCACTAGGCCTATTTAATCCCAGGACCAGATTATCTGCCAGTAAAGGACTGAGAGGTGGCTCATCAGAACTCACCATTTACCTGGTCTCCAATGTTAAGTCGTCTTTGTTGAAGCTTCAGGTTCCACTTTGACAGTTTGAAGATTTAATTATTAACAACATAGGAAAAATGCATCCATTTGAAACAGGGCGCTACACTGAATTAACTGCACTGACATCATTAAACGGGAAACTCGACATTCACAGTAGAAAGGAAAGTATTTAAAAGGAAGCATCTAAAAGTTTCTGTTTACGAGAATACGAAAGGTCTCAGACGTCAAAAACAGAATTTTTATTCCGATGATCATTTTCTGCATATTTCTTTTCTTCTAAACAACATCTTCTGAGACATTTCTAACAGGCCGTCCTTTCACATCTGTACAGTCTAACCAATCGATTTTTATCAGACGTCACAAGAGCGGTGTCTCTGAGCCGTGCAAATTAAAGATGTCACACAGATTCCTCTCTGAGCTAAGTTGTTATTATAAAAATGTTGTTTAACAGATTAATCCTGATGTGTGTTGAAATTATAACAGCAGCAAAGAGATACTAGTAGAACATCCACTTACCAGGTAGGTGGATGCATTTTATCTGCTTTTGTAGATCTGCTGAGCTGTAGAGTGTTGGTGGTGGTGGAGTGTGAGCTCCTGGTTGTACGTAAACTAAATGACCTGTGTGTGTGTGTGTGTGTGTGTGTGTGTGTGTGTGTGTGTGTGTGTGTGTGTGTGTGTGCGTGCGTGCGTGCGTGCGTGCGTGCGTGTGTGCGTGCGTGTGTCTGTGTGTGTGTGTGCGTGCGTGCGTGCGTGCGTGCGTGTGTGTGTGTGTGTGTGTGTGTGTGTGTGTGTGTGTGTGTGTGTGTGTGTGTGTGTGTTGTAACAGAGGAGACCACCATGTTTGGTAGCAGATCTGTTCAGTGATTTCCGTGATGGCTCCAAGCTCCTGGACCTTTTGGAGGTGATGAGTGGCCAGCACATAGTGAGTACCGCGGGGGTTCCCCTGACAACCAGCAGCTGTGATGATCCGGGTGGCTGACCTGTTGGTTTTGTTTTCCAGAGTCGGGACAGAGGCAAGGGAATGTTTCAGCACAGGAGTAACATCGAGAAGGCGCTCTCCTTCCTGAAAAAAAAATCGGTAAAATCCAACGGTTGATGTCGAGCACAAACTGCTGCTGAAAACAGAAACATTTTGAAATGCAACACAAGATTTTCATTCATGAAGTTTTTAGAATTAATTCTTCTTTTTATTGTTAGTAGCAGTTCTAGTGGAAGCAGTAGTTGTAATAGTACTAAATGGCCTGTATTTTATGTAGCACCTTTCAGGGTTCTGTAACCCCTCTAGGCACTTTACAGCACACCTGCCATCCACTAATTCACACACATTCACTCGCTGGTGGTGAACTACACTGACAAAGGCGCCACCATGTTCCGACCACCGCCAGCAGGCTAGGGCGATTCAGTCATGTCTGAGGACCCTGCAACAGGCGGGGCTTGAACTTGCAGCCTCCCTATTACAGTTAACTAACGATTGTGTGTAAAGCATCATCAGAACAGAATGATCTCAGAACCGCTGGGCCAATCAGCTGCAGGCCTTAAGAGTCCTTGTAGAGGCTTTGTGAAACGTTCTGCCCTTTTCCAGATCAAATTAGTCAACATCAACATTCCTGACATCATCGATGGAAAACCGTCAATCATCCTGGGCCTCATATGGACGATCATTCTGCAGTATCATGTGAGTTTACTCTAGGGGTCCTTAGTTCACTCACCTTTCTGCAGGTGGAGGCCGCTGTACCATAGATGCTGCTTTTCCCCTGACTTGAGCCAGCGACACACTCTCAAGGCAGACATTTGTGCCTCATCTCCTAGATTGAGGAGTTGGCAAGCAGCCTCTCATTTGATTCTCGCCAGTCGTCCATGGAGTCTTTGGCCAGTCTGGACTCCCGCTCCACGCTGTCCAGCCGCTCAGCAAGCAGCAGTCCGGTCCCGCGCAGAGGCTCACCGCTGCATAGCCGCTTCAGGGTTTCTGCCAAGAAGGCCCTGCTGCTCTGGGTGCGAGAGCAGTGCCACAGGTAAGGGTTCAAACAAAGCATCTACACATGATGTCATGGTGTTCGCCATTGTGTTGTGGAAATAAAATGACAAAATGAGGATCTCCTCGGTTGTATAAAAGCATTTTGACTGATTAACATTTGAGAGGAATCCTGTAAGTGCATTAAACTGGACTTGTTTCCGTAGAGCTGGCTGCACAATAAACGTTAAAGACTTTAAGGCGAGCTGGAGGAGCGGGGTGGTGTTCCTGGCCATCCTGTGTGCTCTGCGACCCGACCTGGTGGATTTGTCGAAAGCCAGAACCAGAAGCAACAAGCAGAACCTGGAAGAAGCCTTTCACATCGCAGAGAAGGAGCTGCGGATCCCCAAGCTGCTGGAGCCTGATGGCGAGTATTTCTGATGTGTGGAGCTGAACAGCAATCAGGAAAACTGATGTTTGAATATTCAATCATGACTTATTTACTTTAAAGACATCATTTGCAGAAAATGTTGACAATTTCATTTATTTGTCATTTAATTTGAATTTTCAGATTTACTTTGATTCGATTTTAACAAAGTAAACAGATTTCAGGTGTCCAATTTAAAACGCAGTCATACAAACACTGTATGATCCATTATCAATCTTCTACCCTAGCATGCAGGTTTTTTCATATATTTTAAAGCTTATTTGTGTGAAATGCACCTTAAAAATAGATGTAGTCAATTTTCTCCAAGACTTAATTATAGACTAAATAGGAATGAATAAAAGCTGTAACTGGGAAATGCTTCATGAGCCCAAGGGTGATGACGACGAGTCAGATGACGACCAAATGGTTTGCTGACTGGTTTCCTAACAAACCCTCGTGTGTTTGATTCGTTCTGCCCGGTGCTTCATTAGTGGATGTTTCTCAGGTTCAGCTTTACTCAGCAGCAGCAGCAGCATGCTTTTAGGTTGGTTTGAATCTTTACTGGAGGGTTGATGATGCAGGATTGTGATGTTGACACAGATGTGGATGTTCGAGACCCTGATGAAAAGTCCATCATGACCTACGTGGCTCAGTTCCTTCAGTACTCCAGAGACACGCCGGAGTCGGAGGAGGAGATGCAGGTTTGTAGTTTCCAACTAAATCATCCTGCAAAAGAACGTCTAATCAGTTTTTACATCCCAGATTGTGATCTGCTTCCTGATTGTCCCCATCTCCACTAAATATTTCAGTGTTTAATATTCAAAATCCAGCCTATTTTCTGTCAAATCTTCTGTAGTTTCTAGTGTTTCTATCTGTTGGCAAAGGGGTGTGCAACCTTTACAACTCGAACCGTCTCTTCTAGTAAACAGAATTTGTATCGAGGCCCAAAAATCCAGTTTTTCCAACCTTTACAATTTCAGCCAAACAGAAAAGTGTGCAGAACTATGCAGCTACTGCAGAAAATTAGTAAAACAAGTTACACATTCAAATAAAGAAGCTTTACGTTGCACAATAATACCAATTTGCATAAAAGCAAACACAAAATATTTAAATCAGGTTGTTGTTTATGAATTTAAAATCTGCTACTTCCTAAAGTACCAGCCTTTCATTAGTGGCATTATTTATTATTATTTATATTATATACAGTATATAATATACATTATTATTATTATTATTATTATATTGCTCTTGATGGCTTAACTCGAGACATTTACAGGTATGAAAACCACGCCCTGCTTTTAAAGTGATTTCCATTAAACGTGCGTGTCAGGAAGCTGCAGAAACCCATCGGAGCGTGAGCTCTTAGTTTCACTGTGAAACTCATTTGGTTCATTCTGACATCATAAAGGTACAGGTGCAGCTAGAGTAAAGTTTTGGATCTGTGAAAACTGGAGGTTTCGTTGTAAACGATCGAGAAAAGCTGCAGATTTGTTTCTAGTTCATTTAAACAAAAGCGAGCCACGCGTAGCTGCCGACCCCTGCAGGAGTTTTTCCTGTGCTTTCAATCCTTTTTGTCTTTACTTCCATCGCCTCCCCCAACCACTCACCCCCTCTCTCCTTCCCCAGACTCAGTACCTGACTCCTCCCAAAAGTGCCTCACCCATCCGTCTACCTGTCCACTACACACCTGCTGTTTCTGCTTCACCTCTTCGACAGGTACCCCTGCTCTCTTCTGTCTCACTTTTCTTTTCCTTTAAGCTCCTTTTCACTCTGTTTTCCACTAATCAGATGGTGACCGAGGAAAAGTAAATGTGACTTTTCAGTGACATTTTCAGAAAAGCTGCAGACAAGTGAGCAAACATGTGTATCTGGCTCTGGGCTCACATGCAGAGCTCTTGGTCTGAGTAATGAGACAGTTAAGGACGATCAACCCTAGCAGGTAGAAAACCTTTCTGTCTCACTGAGAGGGAAACTGAACTTAAGTGAAAAAAAAACTTAAATAAATGTTTTCCTAAAACATGAGGGAGTGTTTGATCTTAAATTCTAACATTATTACATCCCATAATAAACACCCTAATAATATATATTCTTATATCCAACATTATTACAACCAGAACTGGTTTACGTGATGCAGCTACGGGTCTCTGTTTACAGATATATGCTTGAATGTTAACGACGTTTCTACGTTAGTTTAGTTTCTAACGACATCCACAGCCTGATATTTCAGCCTTCATTTGTTATAATTGTGATGACTATGGCTTACACTGTATAAAAACCCCAAAGTCTAAATCTCAATCAGGATATTGTAAAAGGTTCCACAATCTAGACTCTAATGAGCTGATGAATCCAGAACACCTGCTAAGTGTTACTGAGCCTTTAGATGGTCTCTCAGTCTAAACTGGATTACTGAAACAATGCACCGTATTCTTCATGACTGTATATTTGTGAAGAACAAGGGTACAGCCCATGCTTGTTGGTCTACCAGTTTAACGATTCTTACGGTACATTTAGCAGCAACAGTATTTAAGTTTTTATTTATTTAGTCACTGATTTATTTTTCTATCTCTAGTTAAAAGATTTGTCAAATGGTGGAACGTATCATGACTGGTCTTGCTGGATCAAACCAGTCTGTCCTGTTCTTTTAGGGATAAATCCAAAGAGCACCATGGGTGTGTTTGTTTGGCTTGTTTTGCTGCATCATCTCTTCAAACCGAAGCTCTGTGGATTGTTCCTTTTCTCTTTCAACTTGTGACAGATTTAAGTGTGACAATTAATGCATCAGATCAGTTCTAGAAATCTAGATCAGCCTAGAGGACAGTAATGCACTTCCTGTCATTCTGCCACATGAACTGGGAATAGAGGGTGTCATGATTGAGGGTATTTTCTTGACCCACGACATGAAGAATCACCACCGAGAAACAGAAGATAAGTTTAAATGATTTATTTTTGAATGTTAGAGGTAGACGAAGCTTCTGCAGGACTGGAGGGATCCGTGGGGGTCTGAGAGAGGAAGAGAGGTCAGAGTCTGGAGCAACGTGAGACGATGATGGAGAAATAAAAAGGCTTACTGTTTCCTGGAAGATCCGGGTATACAGAGGGGGGGTTAGTCAGACCTGGCTGGATGGGGAGACCGAGGAGCTGCAGGTGGATAGGCGGGTGATGGAGAGCTGGCGATCAGGGGCAGACGGCAGGACTGGAATGTTGTTGATGGTTCCGGAGATATAGCAGAGAGTGGAGATGAACAGATGACTGGAACCTGGAGGAATCAGGAGGGCAGAGCAGGTTAACTGCCAGAAGGGCAGGAACAGGCGGCCGAACAAATTCTAAAATTGTTTCAAGAAGGTCAAAAGGAGGGCTAGAAACTACCCAAGACTGAGTATCATCTGGCACTGGTGAGATGTCCAGCTGCTCCTTAAATCCCCTGATCGCTGATGAGCTGATTTGGTGCAGCTGGGCTCTCCAGACACACCCACCTGCAAACAACACTCCGCAGAGATGGTAATGCAGCACAGATCATGACAGAGGGGTGTCCAACACTGATCCTTGAGGGCCACCATCCAGCACACTTAGGGATTCCTTTGCTTCCACGCACCTGATTTTCATCAGCAGGCGAATAACAGGCTTTTGAAGAGCTTGCAATACTCGCACTGCACCCTACGAGAGTGTACACAAGTTAGCAAATAGTTGCCAAATTAGTGCAGCGAGCATTGCATCATCGACCACGACGCATGCCAGGAGGCCAATCACTGCTTGTGCTACTTTTTAAAAAGCTTTATTAAAGTGACAGCGAGTATTTTCCCTGGCGATAGGGGCAGTACATACCGAAAGGCAGTATTCTTGTGTTTGAGTAAGACCTTACCAACGGATGACCAGTAGGTTAAAAAATCCCTGGGACTGCAACCTCCAACAAAATAACAAGCACATCAGACTCTCGTTCACCACCGGCACTGAGCAAAGAGGTAAATGTGAAAGACAACAACTTTTATGAATGGTGAAAGTTTTGTAACCGCTTGTTACAAATCAGTAAATGTGTTTTGTCCTCACGGGCTCCCACAGAAGGAAGCATGGTGTCTACTATGGCGTCGCCCAGAGACTTAGACCCGCTCCATGTGTTTTAGACCTGAGAAAGCTGCCAATATTTTTCAGCAACTGGGCATCTTTTAATTCAGCTTCAACAACCTTTCGATTATTCCAGAGATTAATGGCAAAAACTGTGTGATGTCTCTTTAACTTTCAAACAATTATTTGACAAAAAATTATGTTTATTGTTGTTCACATTAAAACTTTGTCAAACATTCAGAGCATGGATCAATATAATTTCATTGGGGTAAAAGAGGAAATGATACAAATTTGGTTCTACAATTGAAGATTTGATTTCCGTAAACATTGCTCTTTTTTATTTTTCCTGACCAGAAGGGGAAAATCTCTTGTTCACATTAACATGCTATTGTTGACTCTGCAGTCTGTGAATCTCTACTGGATTACATTAAAATAAGTATTTATATTGCTGACATGTGTCCAGAAATACACACCAGCACCATTATCAATAGCAATACTTACCAAAAACAGACATGTAATGCATCTTTCCAACAGATACATCGGGATCATATATGTACACAATAATAAAGTCAGTAATATTTTGACAGTTTTACTTATCAGAAAGGGCGCCCGAACCATTGCTCTGTTTCCTTCTCAATGTTTCCATGCAGCAATGGATTGTGGGTAATACACTTTGCTAAAGTCTGCATCGATGCAGATTTTGGAAAAGTGCAGGTCAAGGGTGCAAAGGGGGCGTGGTCAACTTCCACACTTGAGAATCAGGATACCTAAGCACTCACGTCCCTGGACAAGAGCGCACAATCGAAGGAGAAAGTGCAAGGATTGGAAAAGGGCCGAAAACATACTGGATAGTTGCTCTGAAGGACCAGAACTGGACACTTCACCAATCCTCTCACACATCTGGAATAACACCTCTAACCCTGACAGTGGCGTGGGATGGGTTTTGGTAGTGTACAGTGTAAAAGCCAACAAATAATTTCTACAGAAATAAGATTTTAGCTAAACTTATTGACTTTTGAGATTTCAGATTTTCCAAATTAGTTGTTCCTACAACTTTTTTTAGTACAGCTAAATTATATATGAGTAGCTATGCTCCCATGCACCAAACGTCCCCATCCAATTCAAACCTCGGTTGATCAGAAATCCCAAATCTCTGTTTACACTGACAGTAACGAACATGATCCGATCATGCCGTTAGTATACATACACCAAGCATTCAATCAGATTCAAATGAGCATGCGCAGAGTTGTCTTTCCCTGGAAAAAAAATGTAAACAAACGTCCTTAAGTCTTTTTAATCGATATTCTCTCGCTTTATCCATTCACTTACCTTTCCAGCAGTTTTTGATTTGGTCGATACTTTGGTGAATTCCTGCTTCCTTCAATTTAATTCAATTCAAAGATACTTTATTATTCCCAGAGGGAAATTAGAGTTTAAGTATGCACAATTCTGAGATCAGACATACATAGACATAGACACATGAAAAGAATTGGTGACTGTGGTCATTCGCAACCCGAGTCGTGCTACCTTCCAATCCAATCCAATCCAATTTTATTTATATAGCGCATTTAAAAATAGCATGTCAGCTGACCAAAGCACTGCACAGAGTTCAACCTAAAAAGCCATTCAAAATACACATACATACACATTAAACACAGATAAAAGCTGTCATAAAATAGTAACACCTAAAAAATATACAAATGTATAAAACAGCCAATAAAAGAGAAGTCAATAAAAACAGAAGTCAGTAAAACAGAAGAGTCGCAGCATAAAAGACCAATCATTGACCAAAAGCAAAAATAAAAAAAATTTGTCTTCAGGCTGGATTTAAACTGTGCCAGTGAAGAAGCCTGGCGTACCACCAGAGGGAGTGCGTTCCAAAGTCTTGGAGCTGCAAAGGCAAACGCACGCTCCCCACAAGCTTTATACTTCATTTTAGGGACTATGAGCAATAGATGATCAGCAGACCTTAGTGACAGGGGGGGGGGGGGGGGGGGGGTTAGGGGGTGAGCAGCTCTGAGAGGAATAAGGGGGCTAGACCATTCAGGGCTTTGTAAGTAAAAGTTAGAACTTTGTGTTGAATTCGAAATTGCACAGGAATCCAGTGTAGAACCGTCAGAATGGGAGTGATGTGACAGCGTTTATTTGCATTGGAGAGAAATCTGGCTGCAACATTCTGGACTTCCTGCAGACAATTTAGGACAGATACATTTACACCAATTAGAACCGAGTTGGAAAAATCGAGTCTGGAAGTGATAAATGCATGAATCATTGATTCTAAGTGTGGCCTCTTAAGAATGGGCTTTAGTCGGGCAAGGCGACGAAGCTGGAAGAAGCAGGATCGAACAGTGGCATTAACATGTGCACTCATTGATAAGTCAACATCCAGTTTAACCCCAAGGCTGGTCACACATGAATTAAGGTTTAGGGGGGAGAGATGAAAGGCAGCAGAAGTATGCAGATGATGTTTTGGTTTGAATAGAATGGCCTCAGTCTGATTGTCATTGAACTTCAGGAAATTGGAAGCTAGCCAGGTTTTAATTTCTGAGAGACAATCTGAGAGCTGGGTAATGGAACTTAGTTGATTTAAAAGTCATATAAATTTGACAGTCATCGGCGTATATGTGATAATGCAGGCCGTGTTTAGCAATGATATT